GTTGCAGATCTTCCAAGGCTTGAGCGAGAGGAACGAGGACTTCTGGTTCCGGGCCGTTGGATACTTCTCCCGGATGGAATACCAGGCCGGCACAGTTTTGTTCACAAGAGGCGAGCCCGCCAAGGGCTTCTACCTCGTGGAGAAGGGCATCCTACGCGCCGATTACGACATGCCGCAAGGCAAGCTTACGGAGAGTATCGTGGCGGGCACGACGTGCGGCGAGCTGCCCTTCTTCTCGGAGACGGACCGGACGGCCACGGTGACGGTTGACAGGGACTGCGTCGCCTGGCGTATGGACAAGGAGGGATGGCAACGGCTACAGAAGGACCAGCCGGATGTTGCGCAGGAGTTGCTGAGGGTTTCGTTGAAGTTGACGAGTGAGCGGATGTCCTCCATCACTTCGTATATCTTAACCACTGCCGGCTAGGCGCCTTACGGATGAAGTATCTCTCACGCGATCACCAAGCGCGATTTACCGAGGGGACTTTACCTATTTCTTTTCTTTACGTCATTGGAGTTATTAGGATACTAAAAAAGTAGAGAAGGTTGTGTTAAAAGGGTTTGGGGTGTGTTTATTTTCCCGGTACATTGATTTTGGACTTTCCACTAGCGATTTACATACTTCTTGTTGTTGATAGCTTTTACTTCTTTTTGGAGCACCTACCTACCTACCTACCTACCTAGACATCAGCCATCGCAGAGCGCGAGACCCTTCTCCCTCTGTGTTCACAAAAAAAAATTTTTTTAACATCAACGAGAGAATCACTCGTCTTGTGCCCTTGAACATGCTCTCTCGTTCACGTTCTCGTTCTTGTTCTTGTCCTTAGGACTGTTGGATGAGCAGTGACAACTTGATAAGAAGCGGATGGAGGGAGAAAAAGCCGAGTCAGGAAGAGACATTGTCTTGGTTCGTTTTGCCGGGGTGTCTGAGACCCTGGGATTTCCGCCCAGATAAGCACTGGTTTGTTTTTGTCTCGGGGGCCATGTTTTGATGTCGTGTGCCCTTCTTTCCTTTTTTTTTCTTTTTGTCTTTCATCGCTTGTTGTTCACATCCAGTAGGTAGCTGTGGTGATGTTGACGCTGAGCTGTTTTGGCCCGCATTCCCGTATTCTTCTGGGTTGGTCTCATCAAATGGTAGCTTCTAGGCTCACTCGCATTGGGTTCCCATTGTTATGTTGAGTCTGACGTTTAGATGTTTTTTATACTATGGCCGACTGCGTAACCTTGATGGCAAGCTGGACTTGGGGAAGGGGAGTTATGTGGCCCTTTGTTGCTGTTGAATTTATTGGTTTAATGTCCAGTTTGGAGGATTTTGCGGAACCACAAGAGGGAGTTTGGTGTACTTTTCTTCGGAATGAGTTGCAGTTTCCTATTCATATCAGGCAGACGTGGGAGGTAAGCGCCTTTGATGATCCAGTTGAGAGACACTTGTTTCGTCGTTTTCTTATTGACTTTTCATCTGGTATAGAACCCGCTGCGTAAAAGATGTTCCCAGCGTCGCCTGACCATGCTACTGTTTCCCAGTTTCCAATTTAGGATTCACGCAGAAATTTAACGTGACAGCAACGCTGAAGAAGAGGTGGGTGGGAAAGGGTGGAGGAAAGGATCCCTGGTAACCATGTTCCTCTCTCTCAATAGGGGCCGTCTTATCCCGCAAGCTGGGAGCTTCCAGTGCCTCGATGGCTCGTAGAGATGAAGTCATTCTTGGGGTAGCCACGAGGCCATTTGATATCATTTGTGGAGTTAGAGATTACACGCGTGCGCGTCCTCGCGCTGTCTGGTCTGTCGAGGTTGACGATATCACTCCAGTCCCTGAGTTCCCAGGAAGAGCCTTTGACCGGTTGGTCTCTGGGAGTCTTCTGGTTGGAATGTCCAGGACCGGTAAAGAGCAGCAAAAATGCCCGATCATTCTATGGCAGTCAATGGTGCTGGGTAACGAGATGCCCAAGAGCCGTATCACCAGCATGAGAAGATTACAGGCGTCGTGGAAATCATGGGACGTGGCGTGAAAGCAGACCAGGGCCTTTCTGTAAGTATCAATGAGAATGTTTTCTGGCCACTGAGAATCACCACTGGATGTAGTAATCGTGCGTGAGTGCCAACTGGAGGACTGAGTAATCGGATCAACTTAGACAGATTTCCAGGAATTTCGTTATACATCTGTTGAAGACTTTTGAGAAGGCATTTTAGGCCTTCCGGCAAGAAGACTACTCTCCCGGGAGTCGAGAAGTTCTCGCAAAAGACAAGAGCTCCCAAGACAGACGGCGTGGTCGTGGTCTATGAGTTTAATGGTTTGATGGTTACACAAGACGCAGATACCCGGAATATAGATGCTCGCCCACCGGCATGGTTCAGTAGCTGGGCTGTGTTCCCAGCCACGAGAAGCCAGATTGAAGGCATATGCTACGATCTCACCGGCAGTGATGTGGCTTGCCTAGTAGTAAGACGTGAAGCTAAATGAGAGCTTCAGCGTGATATTCTTGAAGAGGCATAGCCTTTAGTCGAGCCCCGACGACTTCGTGAGGTGACACATAAACGGCAGATGCATAGGTAGATAAACGGCTCGGAGCTGTTGACGACTTCTAATGCCTAGGAATGATATCAACGAGCTATTGACCTCGACTTTCGAACTTGCCGAGGAGAGTGGCAGGTTTCTTGGCCGAGCCATAACCAAGGTAGGTCAGAAGAGTCGAGGTCCAGGCAGGCTTCTGCCTCTCTGTATTCGTGTTACGACCTCCTTGTCATAGCTCCAGAGCTTGGTAATCATTCACTTGAACTGGGCAAAATATTCAAGAGAAGAGGATAGCATGCCTCCCATCCTGCATTGAGTACAGTCGACACTACAGCGCACGAAGGCTATGCTCGGTAGTGAAGAATTCAAAGTGAAACAGAAAGTCTGGCATTTGGTAGCCCGAGCCGCACAAGACAGTCAAAGAAGCCAAAAACTTGCTGTATGATGAACAAGGAATAAGCAGCAGTCGTCGTCGTCGTCGATGACACGACCACATGAGGGTAGAAGGACGATGACCTTTAGAGGCGGGGCCGGAGGCGGGCGACGCAGCACTCTCACGAGGAAACCTAGTAATCGACTTCTGCGACTCTGAACGGAGATCGAATGTCGATAATGGTGGACTCCAACGTCGGCAGCTTCGGATGCGATGGCAAGCTGTACTATTCTGGCTTTGAACTCTACGTAGAGTGGGCGCCCGACTTGCTAGAACCTAGTTCCATGTCTTGAATGGCAAAGGGTGGTTGAAGAATCGAATCAGATGGAAGTGTAGCAGCTTTGCCGCCGTAGGACTCGTTTATTACCCGACACGTAGCTCCGAGATGTTGCGCACGTTATGGAGCGATACTCAAGCGCAGCAGAATGTGCAACAGCTCTGGCGGTATTATCGAGAAACATGTAGCAAGTAAGTCGCGAGAATGTATCAAGGCCCCCCTTTGTTGTAAGTTCGGGACGGATACGGGACCCTTAGAAATCATAGCAACGCAAAGATACTTCATCGTCAAGGAGACCAAAACCGTTGCCGCCATTTTAAACATTCATCATGGCTCTTTTCTTTGCAGAAAAAGAGTTCAGATGAACCTCCCAGGCTCCTCCCCCTTTTAGGCAAACTCATTACGTTACATCCCGATGTCACCGTCGTCCAACATCAATGCCGCGCCGAAGGCTGGTTCTGCCTGATTTTGGGAAATTAATGCGTGCAACATGGGGGCCGGATTCCGACGATATAGGATTCACCGCGATAACACATTATCAAATGACGGTGCTACCCAAACTAAGATGGACGAGGAAAATCGGAAAAGGGGAACGAGAAGAGAGCAAAAGACACTGGACCCTTTCCTGTTATATCAGATGCAGAGCGGCAAGTTCGGCCCGGCGTGACGGTGGACCTTCTCTTTTCGAGGCTCATGCACTCATACCGGAGTTGCAACACTGACCGGACTGATGATACTCACAAGGAAAGTTGCGGCCGCCTTCACCAGCAACCCTCCATTGAAGACAACGTTCAAATTTCCGCCGTTAAGCAGCCCAACGCTGCCCTGAAAAGGTCTGAGACCAGCGTGACGAAGTAAAGAACGTCGGCGGGTTTTTGCAAAGAACAATCGTTACCATTTCCAGACCACAAGTCGCATGTAGGAGATGAAATCGAGCAAAGAGCGCCAAGCTTCGGGTTTGATGTTCGTCCCGAAATCAATGCTCTCGGGAGTGAGGTAGGTACCTTTTACTCTGCTCGAACCACCGTGGACAGTCTTTTTTCGTAATTTCCATCCCAACCTTCTGTTCTAGAACTGTTCTCTTCAAGAATTTAAGCTTTGTGTAACAATGCGAGAAAACGAGAGGGAAACACATTCCACCTGCCATCTTTTGATTCTTCTTCCCGGGTACCTGTTCGATTCTTCGCCAATACAACCGAACCGAGTGGTCCGAATCCCAGGCCCGAAAGCCGAACGAAGAGCAGACGGACCGGAAGTAGACACCTCCCACCCCCTATTTCGGGCAGAATAATCAAAAGGCCACGGACCGGTCAGCCTCGTTGTCTCTTTTCTCATCATGTAAATGACAACTTCTTGGCGAAGGCCCGAGTTGGCAACTACCTACACCGTGACTGCTGATTAATAATACTTTGTCCTCTGAACGAAGGGGAATCTCACGCAGAAACTAAAACGCGGCACCTCGTCGTCGGATTCGCCACCACCAACACAAGGAAGGACGAAAAAAAAGGGTCCTCCACCCGAATTCGACACCCGGAAGGGCGCGGGCGGCGTACGTGCGTCAACCGTCAACGGGCATAAAAGCAAGAGTGGAGCCGCCCGGACTTTGACGTACCGGAAATCCCACGTTCACACTACCATACACCCCAGGACATCCGTACGAATCCTCAACCTTAATTATCTCTTCTCTCATTTTTCTTGCGACGCTGTCATTTTCCGAATCACGCTAGGAACAAACCTAGTGAAGAAGAATACAAAAAAGGAATGAAAAGGAATAGAACATGAGCTTGCGGTCAATACTAAGCGGTGGCCGAGTAAAAAAGCCAAAACCAAAGCCGAAGCCATCAGCTTCGCCACGGAAGAATAGCGGGACGAGTAGCCCCCGCAAGCCCGCCGGCGGCAGCAGCAGCAACGCCAAGAGGAATACCACTACCCCATCACACATCCAAGATGACGACGACGACGACGACGACTTCTTCCACGACAGGCTCGACGACGCAGGGCTCGTCGCGGCGCTGGCGACGGACATGTCGTTGCGCGACGTCGTCCAGGCCATAAAGTACACCCGCAGCCGCATGTTCGGTCCCGTCCCCACGGAGGCGGCCGGCATGAACTCCACGCGCATCGCCGAGGTGCTCAATTACCGCAGAGCCATGCCGGGCATAGTGACAACATCGCACCTCCACGCCCTCCTCGCCTCGCCCACGGCGGTGGAGCGCGAGGTCGCAGAGTTGCAGCGCGGCGGAGCGCTGCGTAAGATCTACGTGCAACGCCGCGGCGGCCTGGGCGAGGCCCTGATCCAGACTTCTGAGCTGGAAGACATGATTGTAAAATCGGCAGAGCTGGACGACGATGCGAGATCCGCCTACGTCAAGTTCCTCAGAGAGAATCCGCTAGCGCAGACGATGCCGCGACTGGCTTGCGGCGGCCATAAACAGGCCGATGCCCTGGTGCGGGCCGGGTTTCTTACATCCAGCATACATCCGCAGCACGTAAATACACCTTTAATGAACTTACACTTGCGCCCTGAAGACCGCGGTAGCTTGATGAGCATCCAAGCAGTCTCTCGCGCAGCATCCGGGAGCTTCGACGCCGTTGGCGGACAAGGAGGAATACACGCCGCGGGTGGTGGGGGAGGGGTCCCGCGTCTATCCCGCGGCGGCGCCGCCGCCGACGCGTCATCATATTCGGGGGCCGAATTCACCATCGCGGTGCCCGGGAACGGGTCGTTTCTAAAACTGACCGCCGCCGCTGTGGAGCACCTCGCCCATCTCCTGTCCAAGTCGCAATTTAGGGAGATGCCCGTGTCTATGCTCCGGGAGCGGTGGGAGGGTGGCGTAGCCCGTGACGAGGCACGCCTCGCAAGGAGGGCCAGGGGAGAATTCGCCGGCGTGCTGCCAGGGAGGACCAGACGATGGAAGGAGTTTTACGGTTTGGAGTTCAACTGGGTGTTGGAGGAAGCCATGGGCGCCGGTCTTGTGGAAGTTTTTGAGACACGGAGCGTAGGTAGGGGAGTCCGCTTGCTGTGATACAGTGATCGTGGTGAGACCCTGGAGTCCGTGTACGATTTCTGCGCAGCCGGGGAAAGGTTTTAAGCTTGATACCGTGGAAATCCCAAATGTTCTTCGACCAGTCGCTAACGACTAGAGACACAACGTTGGGAACATCGGCGTCGATGAAACCTGCCTCTTGACAACCTGCCGTGTCGCTTAGCCTCCATCACGTCAACACGACTGGGATGCCATGGCCGCCTCCTGGCATGTTCGTCCGAGTGTCGTTTCTTTGAAAACCCTTTGATAAGAGGAAAGTCATAGAGATAGAGCTGTTGTAGTACGTATAAGACACCCCGATCGAGTCAGTTACTATTACTTTCTACGAAGAGCGTCATTTTTTGTTGGTAATTTGACAACTAACGTACTTCCCTACTCTCGAAGTACATCATTGAACCGCTAGATAGACGGCAAACCCGTGAAGGTTGCGTGGCCAGCTCGAAAGGGGAACAAGCCTGTTGATTAGTGAAGTTTCCCCAGAACCCCGGCTCCCTGTCGATATCTGCCAAGCACGGGATTTGTTGTAAAGGGTGAAGGGTCGCACTTGAAGGCGAGGCGGAGGATGATGCGGCTCCAGGTTCACCTAGGTAAATCCTAGGGCTTGGGGTTTGATCTTCCATGCTTCGCCCAGTCGCGGAGCATCGTGCAACTGGACCAACGTTTAGACGAGAAGTGCCGGTTTTTAAATGCGACCTCGTTAGGTATAGGCTCTTGAGTCATGGAACCCACTTGTAAAAGCCAGAGCATGAATGTCAACCACCTCTCATCCGTTCTTTGCATCGATTTGCGTGCTGCTGTCAAAAGTTGAAAGGCTTGGGACCTAAAGGTATGGTTGGTAGCAGAAAGCGACACACTGCAATGGCTGAGTCGCCAGAAATTTCGGGTTGTATTTGAGGTTTTCGAAACTTACACAAAGGCTGTGTGGAGAGAGGTACGATAGTGTATGTCCATCTGCAGCTAGTGTTCCAGAGTATAGTGTTGTCCGAGCGAAAAGACGTTGGCTCACAACTGTCAAATTGAATTGCCTGCCATACTTCAGTCCATCATCCGAGGCCGGCCGTGAGAGCATGGACAGTTAATCCAAACTCACCCAATCAGCCAAGATACCTCGGATGTCATGGCAGCCGCGCAAGAGTCAAGACATCTGGACTAGTCAGTGTCTATAGAGCTCATTAATCAAATGATTGTTTAGTCGGAAGCTCGAAAAACACTCAGCAGAGATTGTCAGAAGGATCATGGCCCAAGATTGACTGCACCGTTGTCCCGAAGACTCATCTTTAAGCCCACTAAGGAAAAGTATTGGAAACTCCAACATCCTCCTTGGTGGCGCAAGACGTTGCAGCTTGCCTGCCTGCATTGACCAAACGTAGAAAAAGCAATTTTGAGGTGCATTCTGGGGGACGGATACCGACTTCGAGTCCCAGTCAGATGCAGTAAGGTAAATTGAGCTTGGGCCATCCATCGCCTGTGCTTCTATTCGAGCTCGTGGAACGCTCGCTTTTGAACGGGATTCCAAGTTCCAAGCTCATCAGTCCAGGCACCGTGTTGATGTGGACAGAGGATTGAAGTGCTAAGCATGGTGAGGCACTTGCGCAACCATCCTGCGACGTGAGAATGCGGAGACGGAGCAACGCAGCAGAATGCTAGGTTCATCGGATGACGAGAACAGTAAAGTACGGGATGAGGTCTGGCAGTGATACATGAACGCCCGGCAGAACGGCTCGCCGAGAGTGCCCCGGTGTCGGGGTTCTGCCATCCCGCCCATCATTCTCTGAACGTTTTCTGCTCGAACAACAGATAGATTGATGGCCTGAGCCCCGGACCCCAAGATGCAATGTCCAATGGTGCCAATTTGACCAATTCGAAGGAGGGGCTTCGTAGGATTCGTGCGACGGGCCCAGGCTCTGTGAGATTGCCAGACCAGGGCCATGGTCGCGTTATGCTTCATTGGCGAATGAGATTTGGCGGGGAATGGACGAGGCTGCAGCAGTGCAGCTAAGGTGCTTGTCGTCACACAGACTTTTACGCCAACAGCGTCTTCTCCAACTCTGGGTCGTGCTAGGAAGCTTGCCGGAGACGGCTCCTGCAGACGTGCAGAAAGTGTAGCATATGATGGCTGTTATCGAGGCCTTAGTTCGGCGTGCCTAGTAGAAGATTTGCGCACGGGGACGCCATAGATGGCAGCTCGTTGGCTGGAAGAGGTAGTGATGTGATGGCATCCGGAAATTACAGCGTGGTCCGTCCATATGGGGGTCTCTGGCAATTCGCAGATGTTGTTTGATTGCAACAACGGTTGGCACTTTAAAGTGTTTGCCCCCAGTCATTCCATTTGCCGCGCTCTGTCCAATTGTTGATCGAGTCAACGTTGTCACGGATTCTGTGGATTCGGGGACAGATCGAGAAAGCACCGAGGGTGATGAGCGGGTCTGAGGAAGATTCATGGAGATGGATCATGGCAACCCGAGCTGTTGGCGCTCGTGGAAAATCCGTACGAAGTAGGCTTCTTTTGGCGGTAGTAGTGGAGTGACGCGTATCCGTAGCTAGGTGTCCTGTGCTACCCAGAACACATACTCTGCACAAATTTGCGAGAGACAAAGAGGCAGACATGTGGCAGCACCATGTCTCGGCGTGGGATGGACAGCTGAGGCTGCGCAATATCACCACAAGTCGTTACATGCGCACCTTGTGCTCTGGATGCTGACGACGGACGCTTGCTGCTCTGCTTGCTTGAGGGTTGGAAAGCACGCGCATATGCGTGCGACGGTGGTACGGAGCTCGCGCATGTGCATCCGCGTCTTGTCGTGGATCAAGTGCCGTCGGTCCCAGCGAGGTAGTCGATCCATCATCCCACAAGCTCTCTCTCTTTCTCTCTCGCGCAGATGCAAGCCAGTTTGGGATTTGACAGCAGGGGTTTTTTGGAAGTATCCCGAGACCTAGGGACCAAGTAGCGAGCAGGAGTCAGGCCACAGAGCGGCGTGGCTTATCATCCAAGGACCATGAGGGAGGGATATAGTAGCGCCATGTCTCGAGACGCTTGTGCTTGTGCAATGGGAAGCAATGCTCATGGTCCAAGTGCTCGCGCAGTCTCTCGCGATTAAAGGGGCGTCCTAATGTGCCGAGTACCTCTGATGCTGGTAGCTCGTGGCGGCACCGTGTATATTCTGGGACTAAGCTGGAAAGGGATCCCCCCCTTGCTGTTCCTGAGTTGAGCGATGGTCCTTGCTGGGGATGTGACAGGGGTAGAATCTCCAAGTCTGGGTACCAATTTGACGATGATCAGGCTAGCGAGGGAAAACTTCCTGGGTTGGGCTGCGGGCGTTGTGATGAGTGGTGTATCTCTTGGACGTTGTCTCTAGTACGTACCTGACTAGTTGCCGATGGGGAAGCAATTCGTGACAGAGTCGAGGAAGGAGAGAAATAGTGCTTTTGCTCTTGAAAGTCCGTCAAGACCGGCGAGAGTTGCATGTGCTAATCGAAGTGTGAATGGCGGGGATGGGGAAATCTCGACCGTGTTGCACGCCCTCCTCAGCCCTGACGGGCCAGCTGGAGGGGTGAAAAGGAAATGGAAGGGAAAAAGGGAAAAATCAGAGACGAAGGCAGGGAATGACACAGACACGAGAAAGACAAGCGATAAACGGGGGCAAGGTCGCAAAAGACCAGGGGAGGCAACATCTCTTTCTCTCGTCTCCCTCCCACCTCCCCTTTTTGTGTTTATTGGTATTTGGCACGAGTATTCCGTACATGGATACGTATTGCCCATCTCGCCCGTAACCCCGGTTGCATCTTGTCTTCTCCCTTCCTTTCCCCCCTTCTCATTCAGCTAGTATAGTTCGTTCTAGGGACAAGTTCATTCTCGATTGACTCAGAGACGACGACTGTTTCTTTCCTTTACGATTTGCAGATATCATGTCCCGCAATCTTAGTTGACGCCGATATCGAGGATCGTCACTTTGTCACTGGGTTTGGCAGCTTATCCCTCTAATCCTATTGCGCAATACTTCCCGTTGTCGGCATATCCAAGCACAACTTTTTGTGGATTCCTCACAAGCTCCCGTCCAGAAAAAGCAAAGAATGGTTTAACGGTACGTACAAGGGCCCACTATTTTTTACACTCCTGCACCCTGTCACTTGTCCGCTACTTTGCCCCGGGCAAGTAGGACCAACGAAGAGAGGAGGAGCAGACGGGAGAGGAGAAGAGGAGGAGGAGGAAGGTGCTTTCTCTCTCTTGTCCAGGTTCTTTCCCACTCGTAATAATAGCAAAAGAGCAAAGGGAAAGAGAGAGAGAGAGAGGAAGGGACTTCCAACATTGGACATCCTTCGCATCGAGGACGCGCCTAACACGGAACATACCTTTTTCGAGGAAACGATCCCACTGGTCTGGAACCCTCGACTCTCGACCTCTTTCACTTCCAAAGTTCTCCCCCCTCCTGCCTGCCGCCCACGTTTACACTACAGTCTACGTCTACGTTCAGGACCACGTCCGTCCACGTCCAGATCGCTCCCAACTTATCCGACGGATCTGCCTAGTACCTTCAGCCACTCCTTAACCTTCCTCGCGCCGCCCACGTCTTTGCACATAGCGGCCATTTCCCGCTTACATTGCCGTCCACTGCACTAATCGCACCGAAACGCACTTTTCATCACCACATTCACTCACGCCTTCTCCATTTTCTCGACCAAACACTCCCTACTCATCTCGTCTCGCTGCGCTCTTACGCTTTGCGTCTCCTTTACCTTGCCCACAGGACGCCTCAATTAAGTTGACTCTTCGCCTTGTTCGATTCCGCCTGCCGCCGCCTCTTCCTTAACTTAACGTACGGATTCCTCCGCCAAGACCAAGAGACGCAAACAAGCCCAGCGCTCGAGACTCGGATCTCTCCTTTCCACAAACCATCGCAACCCCATCGGCATCACAGAGCTCATCGCATCCGCCAGCTCTCAGACTTGACGCAATTCCGTCCCAACTCTACCTTACCGCG